GCCTCCCAAGTAGCTGGGACCACAGGCGCCCACTACAGTGTCTGGCCATTTTTTGGTTGCAGCCATCGTTGTTGCCCAGCGGGCCCGAGCTGGACTCGAAACTGCCACCTTAGGTGTATGTGGCTGGCGCCCCAGCCACTCAAGCCACAGGCGCTGAGCTGCAGCTGCTTTTTCTACAGTGACAAGGCAAATTATAAACTGGGGAAGCTAATGCTAAGGCCAAGATCTCCAAAACTGTACTTAACCATGCAATCAGGAAGCTGCCACAATTACAAAACTGCCGCATTATGGAAGCCACCACAAATAAGAATCTGCCAGTGAGCAGTGGCCTCAGAACCACACCATACGATGAAATACACATGAAAACGGACATCCCACCTCTTGACTATCAACATCCATAAAACTAGTGATCAGGGTGGCAGCCCCATATACCAAGGGTGGAGGATTCGAACCCAGCCCTAGTCAAAGTGCAACAAAAAAATAGCCAGGTGTCAAAATGTGGAGAAGGGGGAGCAGAGCCTCCTATTCAGACTTGTTGATTTATTTAATTCCAATAAGTAAATAGTACAGTACTTTAGAGAGCTTCCCCGTTGTAAAATGGGTAGTCATTGGCTTGAATGGCGTTATACCATAGAGGATTCAAAAGTGCACAGAGATTTTTGGTTTATGTGAGTCAATATTATACTCCATCCACAGTTGTTGAGTTAATTTGACATTTAACCTGATTTATAACAAGCTCCTGTGACACATGCTGCTGATGGCTGTGAAGAATAGTTTGGTTCTCATGTATTTTCAGTTGTTGCATAGTAACATGATTGTTCTATATAGCAACAGAAGAATCATATGTCAACCAATGGTCACATATATCAGAAAAATGAAACTTCGGTCACAATGGGGACTAACAATTCTCTAAATTAAAATCGTATTTTAAGTCATATTCATTAAATAAATGATATTGCAATCTACTTATCAACTGCTACTTTAAACAGTGTCTCCCCTTGAAGAACTCCTTTTCCTTGTTGATACAAAATGTATACCAAAAAGTAAAATATAAGGCAAATATTGTAATAAAGAAATGTGCAAAATTCTATGGGTATACAGAAGAGTAATAACTTTCCCCTTGGGGATGGAGAAAGGTTCCTGAAATCAGAAAATCTTCACCATCCAGAATAGATTCATGGCTTGGTGCCTATAGCTCATTTGAATACGGTAATCGGTTGATTGTCACCGAAGTTATTCAGGGAAGATTCTGGTTGAAAGCTGGAGTAGAGGAATAATCCTTAGGAATTTGAGGGAAAGAAGTGGAGATAATGAATGTATACCCTAGGAGGCACCACGCGGAAAAGGAAGAGATGAAATAGGGCAGAGCCTCATTCTTTCACCTGTTGTTTTAAAGATGATAGTAACTTTATTATTATTATTTTTGGAATGAGTAGCAAATGCCAGTTGTATTAGATTCCTAATACCGTAACAAATTACCACTAATAGTGGCTTAAAACCCACAAGGAGTGTAAAGTCGAGGCACTGGATGCGTTGCCGAACTTCTGCGGTGTCAGGGTCAGTCTTTCTCTCCCTCCTCTCTCTCTCCCTCTCCCTCCTTTCCCTCCCCTTCACGCAGGCTTCTGCTTCTGGGCCTGCGACCCACCTCCAGGCCTGCAACAGAGAGTCCTGTCCCTGAAGCCTCCCACTTCTATCTTGCAAGGACCCTTGCGATTACATTGGGCCCTTCCGGGGTAATCCTGTATCATCTCCGATCTCAAAATTGTTAAATTAATCACATAGCCAAGGTCCTCTCAACAGGTGCAGGAACATTCACAGGGTCTGGGGAATATGTGGTGGGACAGGACCTGGAGCTGAGGTCTCACCGCATTCTTGGAGGCACCGAGCCCCGCGAGGCTGCAGTTCCCACCA